TGTGTGAACCCTCTTTCCAAGACAAGACTGAGAGAATAGTTACAGCTAATTATAGTAAAAGAAACAACTAGAAAGTAGAGATTCCATTAACATAAATCACATTATGAGGAGATTACATAATTACGGATATTTAACAGAAAGATCAGAATGAAAGCACATGTCAGTACTCCAACCCACTGTTCTTTATACAAAGTAGTGAATCAGTTTCAAGATTTGTAAAAGGCTGCCACATTGCTGTATCTCTCTGAGCGTCTCAAATAAAATATGGTTCAAATTTCTTGCTACACAAAGAGCAGCTCAGAGCTCTTGAATAAACAAAGACAACTGATGCCGTTAACGGGCTTGGTGTGACCACAGCTATGTCATCTTGGTCTTGCTTTTTGCACCTGACAGAGGTTGGAGGGAGCAATCCCGCAAAGGGGCTTCCGCCAGTCCATGGAGATGCTCCTCCCAGCCTCCACCCATTCCTTGCTGTGACCGGCCATGGAGGTGGGGCTAAGAGAGGACTATTCTCATTCTAGCCCACCCTCTCCAACACACACACACATGCACACACACACACACACGCACACACACACACACACACACACACACACACACACACACACACACACACACACACACACACACACACACACAACAGCTGTCTTCATTCCAGGGAAATGAGAAGCCACCGCTCCTCAGAAGAGACAGGGAGCTCCCCTGTGGTGATGTGTCCCCTGGGCCTTTATGCAAATATGGGGAGTAAGAGGATGCTTCTTCTACCAAAGCCTCTGAATGAAATAGTGATTGAACATGATGTAGGGAAGGCAGCAGACTAAATTTTGTGCACACACATAAATATGCCCTACATAGTTTTCAAGTTGCTGGAGCTGGGATTCTTAACCACATGTTTGCTATGTGGGATCCGGTTCCCTTGACTACTAGGCCATAGGGTCGGCCCTGGAGTAGAGTCTGCAAAACTGAAATGGCTATCCTGTCAGTGGTTCGGTTCCATGCCAGTCCTGAGTGGCAGTCCCAAAGGAGCAACGCAGCCTTCGGAAGGAAGCAGTTCTGCCTAGCCTCCTGCTTAGGCTTCCCGTGTGTCCGGCTGGCTGACTCTTGTCACTCCAGCTGCTCTTGCTGCCATTCTGAGCTGCTGCCATCGCTGAGGTCTGAGTGGACTCCTCTTAAAGGGCCATTTATCCTGCTTTTCCTTTGGCCTTTATCCAAGTTTCCTTTTAAAGACTCCTGGCCCAGGATCATAGGGTGCTCAGGAACATACCAAAGTCAGGGAAGGTCTTCTCTAGAGCTGTGCACCCACGGTCAGTCTGCTTCATTTTTACAGCACTTGAGTTGTCCAAGCCTCAACCACACACATTTTCCTCCTCCACTGGCACCTGCGGGGCCACGAGTGGAGGGCATTACATTGCTTTTTCCTCTGAACTGCTTTTGCCAACCTGCTCCGCCCTGGCAGAGCTTGGCAGTAGATGGAAAGGCTATTTTTGATGAGAAGACTTAGCAACATTCCCTAAACAGAAAATTTCTCTCCTAACACTCACAGCATTAGAAAACACTTGACTATAATTTGGTCCCTGATTCCAGAAGAAAGGAAAAAGCTCTCTTTGCAAACTGTTCTCTTTGGTAGCCAACTGAAAGGCTAGGGAATCCAGAGGAACCGCCACATCCCTGGACTCTGCAGTTAGTCAAACACCGTGCTCCTGAATGTACAGCATTGCAGTGGAGACAGGAAGAAATCTGGCACGATCCTGGCCTTCGAGGAACTATTGGTTCAGTAGAGACAGTAGGAAAAACGTACAAACTATAAAACAATACAAAATATGAAACACATCACAAGCAAGGTGCAGCGGAAGTGCTGGAGCAGTTCAAAGGGAAACCGTGTCACACCGGTGCAGAGGCAGGAATCGCAGTTACAAGGTTCCAACTTCTTTGAACATCTTGGGCAAAGTGTAGGCTTTTAAGGCTACTTTGACCTCCTTTCCCTTAATATCCCCTTTCCAAGGACATCTATTTACCCTCTCTCTGCCCCAAGCCCTCCTGTGATGGACTGGACAGACAGCCCGTGTTACTTTGACAGGAATGTTCATTTCTGTCACATATAAAAATTCCAACAGAGGCTCTTCACTGAAAATAAGGTTGCGAGACATCTTTCCTCAGTTGCTCTCCTCTGCCTTTTTTCCTGACCTGCTTCTTCTAACCTCAGCACCTTACCCGAGGTCACTCTTACCTGGCTGCAGCTTTACATTGCTTTGTCCCCAACTGTCACACCTTCTTCCCAGAAAAGTCCCTGATCTGGCCTGCGCCCTTAGTCAGTGTACTGCTCCATGTGGGCAGCAGGAGCTGGCAGTTCTGCTGTTAACGAACCGTCCTTCAGTAAAGGAAAATCAGGATATTAGCGGTGCCTGGATGGTGAGGAAGGAAAAATACTTCCCTCCCATCTCTCTGTAGCCCTGTCTCAGACGTAACCAGTAACTGACCAGTGAGCACTTGGAGAGGCGTACACGCGCCTGCCTTTCAGCACAGTCTGAAGAAAATTCCAACTGGGACCAGCCAGTTCCAGAGGTCCCCGTGTAGCCCATGGCAGGCAGGCCCCAGTCCTCAGTGCTGTGATGGTGGCAAGTGAGAGGCCGTGTCCCCCCACACTTCCCCCTGTGTGTCCCTTATACCTGGGCTAACAGGCCGACCACTGACAACGTCAGGAAGTGAAGCTGCGGCAGACCAGACTGCCAGGAGCGGGAGGATTGGAAAGGCTGATCTCCTTTACTAACTGCCGGGAAGGATTCTCTTCGAAGACCAGACGCCTTCTGCACAGCACACTCCCCCAGACCTTGAGGCAAGGCCTCTGCTAACCCTTTGAGGGCTTGGCCTGCACTGGAGAGCTCAGCGATGCTAGTTCTCATAACGCTGCCAGTCCCCGCCACCTGCACACATGCAAGCATCTTGGGTCACTCGCCCTCTCAGCTACTGCTTTCATTCCCACAAACGTCACATTCCCCCTTCTCTGAGTTCCCAGGCCCTTTTTATAGTGCTCTCCAAATCTCTCTGAGGATGTGTGGAACAGCGTATGAACATAGCTTTGCAGTCAGGTGGACCTGGGCTCAATGACCCCAACGTGGACTTCCTGTGTGACCTAATTAATGCATGTGGCCTCTCTGTGCCTTATGATTACAGGTGCAAAATACAGATGACAGTAATTACTTGGTAGGGTCTTTTATCTTTTTTGCTTTTTCTTAAAAATCTTTTTTTTTTGGAGAGGTTTTTTTTTGCTATAGGGCGCGTGCGCTTGCCAGCCAGCCAGAGACAGAGAGATAGAAAGCGAGAAATCACCCCCCAGGGGGGATGGCCATGCCACAATCCCTTCTCCTCCATTCTCCTCTCGGGATCTTGGGCACACATGCACACACACGCACTCGGCGTGAGTTTAAGCCACCAGGTCCCGGACTCGGACCGCGGTCGACTACGTGGGAGTCCAGTGACATAGCCATTACGCTAACTGCTGGTCCCACTTGGTAGGGTCTTGTGAAGATTGATATATGAAACAGCTGAGTACCTGGCACATTTCTGGTGCTCAAGGAATGAGAGGTAATGGCTATTGCCAAAACCCCCACGGCCTTACCCTTCTCACACGCTCCCTCCTCCTGCCCCCTCTTCCATCTCCTGTCTAACCCTTACCCCAGGACAGACTCATAAGAGATTCTTAAGAGAGGGTTACTCAAGCTCTCACAGCCCATGCACCAAGCCGGGGGTGGCAACGTCCACCCAGCCCACCAAGCTACTTCCAGGCAATTCCTTTTCTTTCTCGGATCAGAACATCTTTCCTCCCTCCAGGCTCAGGCCCTCTACCCATGCCACACTTGTGCACCTTCCACTTATGCCACCTGCTGGCCTCTTCTCATCACTGCACCTACTTATCAATAAGGGCTGGCAACCACGTCAGACTTTTTCCTTTTCTCCATTACGGGTAGCTTCAGTTGGAACATGGGTGATCACTACAATATTGCACCTACAGCATTTCTAGACTCCAAAACCTTCTGCTTATCCAACCTCAGAAACCCAGTTCCATAGCTAGACCTACTTGGAAAGTTCTATTGTGTCTTAGTCCACTATTGTGTTTGTAGAAATACCCAAGACTGATTTGTAAAGAAATTGAAGTTTGATTCATGATTCTTGTCCAGAAGCTGGCCTTGCCAGCTTACCTCACGACACAGCTGACAGAGTCGAGATGACAGGCACGTGCAGAGAGGACAACCTGGGGGCAGCCGGCCTCTTGTTAGAACGACCAGATCCCTGGAAAACTAACCCCTTCTCACAAGAGCTAGAACTCATAGTCTCTCGTGAGACAGCTTTAACCCAGTCAGGAGGCAGACTCCTCCACGATCCAGTCACCGCCCAGGAGGCCTTAGCACCTTCCAGCACCATTACGTTGCGTGCCAGATTCCAAAACATGAACTTCCAGGGGACAAACCATTGTTTAAATCATAGCATACTTCTATACAGTTATGAACCTTTACTGTGCTTCATTGGTCCACATGTCTCTCTCTCTGGGGTGACTGTCCCACCACTACAGAGCTTATTTGACTTTTCATGTGTATCCCTAGGACAGTGTCTGGTACAGAGTAGGTATTCGATACATATTTATGAAATGAGTAACATGGTACATTTGTATAGTTTTCTAGAGCTTACAATATGCTTCTTTATCTTTTACCTTATTTAATCATCTGAGGAAAGCAGAAACATTATTAAAATTCCCCTGTGTGAATAAAGAAATAGGCTCAGAAAAGTGAAGCGGCTGACTTAAGGATACATAGTCAGTCCATGACAAGCTATCTGTTCTATCACTGAGGGGCGGGGCTTGCCCTCCCATCCTAGCTACAGGGACCACTCTCTTCTCCTTTACCTCCTTACTCTCTGTACTTGTTTATTTTAGTTTATTTATTATTATCATAATCTTGCTTATATTACATTGAATCACATATAACTTAAAAATATGAAACGCTTCATGAAATTTGCGTGTCATCCTTGGGCAGGGGCCATGCTAACCTTCTCTGTATCATTCCATTTTTAGTCTATGTGCTGCTGAAGCAAACACTTGCTTTTTTTATGAACACTTAAAAGAAAATCTGAAAAGATGATAGCTTACTCATTTTAAGCACACATGAATGGTTTTGAAAGGATTATGCATCTCTGTGTTCCTGAAGGTCTCCTGCCATCGGACTGTATGTTGAACTCTCAGTATTTTCTTAAAAGAAGTGTGTAATATTGCATTTGATTGTCCGCAGTGTGAGTACTGAGATGGTAGATGTCATCTATTACCCACATTAAACAGATTTCAATACCGAAAAATGAAGAAACCTAATTTTGGGCTCTCTAATTAGTTCAATCTTGGATTTAAGCTTCCTGATAGAGCCTAGAGAATGATAATATAAAACCCCTGTGGGTTACCAGTACAAAATGAAAACATTGGCAGAAATTTAAAAATTCCCTTCTAATATATAAAGAAGAGTTATGCAACAGGCCAAGCAAACCAGTTCTTTCCTGAACCACTCTAGTTCCACATCCCATACATGGCTAAATCCGGCATGGTCTTAACCAGAATCTGATGTACAATCCCAAACTAAAAAGAATCTTGCTTCAGGCAGAGAATAAGTCTTTATTCATTCATTCTTTCTTTATTGTTTGTTTGTTTTTAAGTTTCTTTCTTTCTTCCACAAATGAAAGAGTCTGAGAGAAGAGAGGGAAGGAGGGAGACAGAGAGACAGAAAAAGACACAGCCACTTCCAATGGGGTCTTCATACTGCCATCCCCCCAGCTTCAGCCAGCCCTGGAGAATGGGTATGCATGTGCCCAGCACGTTCAGGGAGGTCTCTGGATGTGAACACAGAGCCTTCCCAAACAGACCCGCCTTGTGTTACTGCTGCACAACCATCTGGCTCCTGGAAAATCTTTGTTTTCACTTGTAATGTTCAAAATGTTTTCCTAGTTTGAGGAAGTCATTCAAAGAAATAAATTATAGCTAATAGTATCTTTCCATGGTAATGTTCTGTCTGTCTATGGTAATAATTTCTATTAAATTCAACATCCTTGGGACCAGCAGTTAGCGTAATGGCTATGTAGTCAACTGCAGTTCGAGTCCCCGACCCAGTGGCTTAAACTCATGCTGGGCACATGTACGTGTGTGCCCAAGATCCTGAGAGGAGAAAGGAGGAGAAGGGATTGCAGCGTGGCCATCCCCCGTAGGGGGTGATTTCTGACTTTCTGTCTCTCTGTGTCTCTCTTTGCCTTTTTGGCAAGTGCACACTCCCTATAGCAAAAACCTCTCCCCTCCAAAAAAAAAA